TGCACTATTACCAGGATCACCAGACTGACTAGAAAGCTGCTCTCTGAGTTCTTCTTTTTCTCTGCTAAGCACCTGATAAGCAATTAAAAATAAAGAAGAAATGAAAATGAAAGATTAATGTCATAGTAACCTATACTTATCACAGATTTAATGGTTTTCTGACAAAATAGTAATTAAAACAGACTTAATTCACCCTAAACTGAAGTGGTGATCTCAGGAAAGACTTTTTGGGTGTCTCCAATATTGGGGTCCACTACATGTAGTTCTTTTGATAAAGGGTGGTGGTTGCACATAGACTACCAATAACAATAAGACTTCTTTTTCTAATTCTAATCAGTTAAACTCTGCACTGATCCAACCTGAGACTAAATCACCAAACAAAATACAGAATACTGATCGAATGATCACTAAGATTTCAAGTCTCTGATTATGTGCAATTATAGTAGGTGGTGGTCTGAACAGCTGTTCAACAGTTTGAACAGAATTTCTGCCCCTGACCCTCAGTGACAGCCCTAGAATACAATAACAGTATCATAGAGACCACTAAATTTTCCTGACGACAGCATCTGCGCTAAATTACTCATACACCTCCTTACATGTTTATGGTTACCAACTGTAATTACCTGGGTTTTACTTCTTTCATCCTCAAGAAATTCCTCTAATGACATTTTCTCTTTCAATACATTTTCTATACGTTCTTTGTTTGTTTCATTTTCCTTTGATAAGCTGTCTATTTGACTTCTAAGTTCATTCACATCATCATAGTCATCTGACCTATTTTCATCAGTTTTCTTTTTCTTTGTCAATTTCTTTTTTCTCCTCTCTTCGCTAGCATCAGAATCCTCATCAGAACTGGAATCACTTAACGTAGTAGACCCTTCAATTATTTCAATTTTAGGAACAGCAGTATTTGATTCATGTTCACCCTGAACAATTGTAGAACTCTGCTCCTTCTCCTGATCAAAAGAAGATGCAGATGTCAATTTTGTCCTGTTTTCGTCCTGCAAGGGATTTGAAATTACGTTTGCATCAACTGAGTCATAAATATGATCACTCTGTGATGATTTAGATCTTCCAAGATCAGTTTGTTGATGTTGTTCTCCTGTTTCTACAGTTCCTGCATCTTGAGAGTTCTCTGCTTCAGGATCATTCCCCGCTTCCTTTAAATCTGCTGTCCTGTCAATCTCCCCATTCACTGAACCCTAAATTCAATGCAACAAAAATATTGTTATAATGTTACTCGAGACCCCTTCACAAGCCCGGTTGACTAGGCCAGCCCAGTTTCTGAGATATCTCCTTATCACTAAATCCTTTGTAAAAGTTTCACTGCATTCATATGAGAGGGTCCCATACGTAACTTGCAGATCTGCCGAAGGCCTTTCTCAGGTCTGTCACAGGTCTGTTCAGTCATACAGCAGACCAATTTGACGCAAAACTGAAGTCTGCAAGTCTGCATACTCTCTGTGACAGACATCTCATGAAAATGACTTCTTCTTTGACTGTGTGTTGCCTTTTATCTTGTTTGCAGCAAGTCTGTTGCAGACCTTTCGTGACTTTTGGTGATTATGCAATAAGGATCTATTATTATGTCTGCACTTGATCTGCAGCAGACGCTGTGCAGACAACCACCTGCACGAAACTTGCGGTGCTGTACAGCGCCACAAAATTGCTTCAAAATAGCTGTACAGCTAAATTACAGCTGTTCAGCAGCCTTTTAGAAGCCAAACAGCAGCTTCATTCAAGTTGCAGCGGGCTGCAAAAGCGCTGTGCAGCCTTTGAAGGTTCTTTGAAGCTCTCGGCAGCGGTTTTGCAGCGCAGTTGCCGACTTTCAAACGCTGCGAAAGAGCTGCAGTAACGTCGCTACAATTCAGCTGTGGTCGATCTGACCTTCTTGAGCGCCAATAACATGAATCGCCAGATAAAGCCTTGGCACAGATTAAGGCTTTTAGAACGCAAAAACGTTGACTGTACCTCTAAGAAATGTGAGTAAGCTTGTGCTCAAGGAAGATCACTTATTGAATAAACCTTCAAATTCTATGCTTTCAATAAATTTTATTCCGTGACCGGCAAGTGTGGGAATGTTATCGCTAATTCCCTGGAGACATTCTAGGCCGTGATCTAATTGGTCGGTCCTTTTACTTGAGATCCCATTACATCTCTAGACAAACACGGGATCCCACACATTTGCGACCGTTGAATGAAAGCCGCAAACATTCTAAGTGTTTTTGCATCTAGTTCTGTTTCGAGATGGAAGTTCTGTTGAAGTTTTTGGATGGAACAGCTCAAACGTATTTGGAAACAACGCACTGAACAGTGACTTCTACGCTAAGTATTGACGAATCGAACCAGAGCAAGCAACACAGATACAAGAATCTCAGATGGGGTAATTCGCACTTATAAAATTCTTATACGCTCGTGGTAATGTTCGTTCCTTAGTCCATTGTAAAATTTAACGACGACCAAAGTAAAATTGGGTTGATTTCTTTCATGAAAAAAGTGTAGAAGATCGTGGATCATGGACAAAACGTCAAGGTGAGCAATGTCCAGCTTAGCCCGTTGCAACGAATTAAAATATCATTTGCCTGCTGTCCGTGTAAACTCTATGTATAAGAGCAATCGCTGTTCTCTTTATTTTTAAAAAAGATAATTTTAAGTTACTCTTTCGATGCCTCTTACCATTCTTAAATAAAGGTCACCTTTAGGTCACCTTTTGGCTTGCAGCGTGTTGTTTTCTTCGTATATTTTTAGCTGACATCTAATACTCCATTCACTTTGCTGCAGTCAATCTGCAGACCTAAAGGTCTGTCATTCACCTTTTCACTTGCAGCTCACTGACAGTGAAGGGATACTTTTAGAACCGATCCACTTTTTGTGTTCACCTTTCCGTGACTAAATAAAATCGAACTGCACACTTAATACAGACCAACTGCATACTAACTGCAGACATTTCAGGCAAGTGATCTGCAGGCCTGCTGAAGACGGTTGAGCAGACGAAAAAAGGACCAGTCTGCAGATCTACATGTTCTGTACGGGGTGGGCTGGCTAGGTTTTGGGGATGAATTCTGGCAGCCCAGATGGCATCATCTTGCATTGCCTGTTGTATTTTTCACATCATATGAGCAAATTCCTATTTAATGTACTGCAATAATACAGCTTTAAGAGTTGCCAAAGTCGCGAAAGTTAAAATTTTTGTGTTTTGCCTTGTATGCTTTGTTTTTTAAATTTTAAGTCAGAACTCATCCCAGGATCTTTGGCCTTTTCTCATCTCGGAAACTGGGCTGAAATTTGTCATATGAAACCAAGGCAAAATTTGTCTTAGTAAACAGGTCAGCCCAGCCTGCCAGGCTCATGAGGTGAGGCCCTTGTATTGCACTGTTTAACTGTTAACCGCAGGGCTTGACTCATTGGTTATAGTTGAAGAGGTAACCCCTGGCCCAGGGGGAGTACTCCAGATTTCAAGTGACAGGGAAGATCGAAGGATTTTTTTGGGATGGTGTAAATTTTTGATCTCGGGATCTTTTTAGGTAGGAAAATTTAGGCATGTATTTTTTGGGGTAGCTTGATTTAAGAAAGGATTTTTTTGGGTATTCAGCAAAACAATCTGAAGATTCGTGACAGTTCCTGTGTATCCCGGCTGCGTAGTTCCGCAAATAAAGTAACATACGGTAGTTCATAAAGCATCTAACAGAATATGTTCTTGAGTGTCTCGAGTGTTCTGACAATGACCACCAGATGTGAAAAAGGTTCTTTCTCCAGATGGTGAGATGAATAAACAAACACAAACATTCCATTACTAATGTTTCTATTTTTCATGTTATTATCATTAAAATTATACTTTTCGGAAAATTTTATGGCTCGGAAATTTCGTATGGGATATTTTGGGGGTAAAATTTTGGTCCAGGGATTTTTCGAGGTTTTGTTTGAAGCTCTAGAAATTTTCTTGGGTATTGATTTTCGCCCCATTCGATCATCTATCGTCACTTGAAATCGCGAGTACTTTTCCCCCGGGTCCCCTAGGCTACTGTAAGTACAAAAATTGAGCTAGCTCATTTAATGGGGTACAATAACTTACAAAGTCATAGTTATAGTTAATTAAAGAACGAGATCACTCTAGACTCTCCATTTTTAAAAATCAATAGAGTTGACTGTCATAGACTGAGAGAGCAAATCAATTAGTCTAAATAATATTTCCTTTGTTTCAACGCATAACCATACCCACAAACGAAAGAAAATAAAATTCAAACCAAAAATGAACTTGAACCATAACATACATAATTATTAAAACATCCTTTAACCTTTACAGTACTGTAAACTGAAACCAAATTAACAATCATAGCTCTTCACAATGTTAGACCCTTGCACAAATTACATGTAAGCTTATATTTACGGAGACTATAGTAAGATACTACGAGTAACACCACCAAACATTTTCCTACACAGAGCCCTAAGCAATCGGCTATCAAAGTTGAGCTAAAGGTCGGTTAGCAAATAAAACTTGTTTACCGAAGCACTCTTTTCAAATGGTTGCTCTGTTGACATGACATTTTGGAACTTGACCACTACAGAATACCACAAATACAATACCACAAAATAAAAACAATACATTATTCAATATCAACAAAAAGTTACTACGTTACCTGGTTATCGTTGCTAGATGGAACTTCAGTCATAGCCGCTTCAAGAGCTTTTTCGACCAAATCTCCTGCGAACACCAAGAAGTCAACTTTGATACCAGCGTCAGTCAGCTTATTTCGTTTCGCATTCGAATCCGCGTCGGCGGATTCGGCCATCGAGGTTTTCATCTCGGAGACAAAGCTTATCGTTAACTGGAGTCATCTTCTTTGAACAGCTTCACCGGTAAAACAGACCTAATTTTCCTATTCACTAACTACTTATTATGTCACGGAATGCCCAACTGTTTTGTGAATCCTTGCGGAGTTGCGGTCGCTTAGTAACCGCCTTTTGTTCTCCTTGGCGCCAAGCCCGGTGTTCTCGAATCATCAATCACTAATCAATATTTCCAGTTGTAAATGGTAAATAATTCTTAAAATTATCTAAACGATTACACTCCACACTTCACGTTACTTCCATCTACAGTATGAAAATTCGGAAAGAGCACTAAGTTAAAAGTTGAGGTTCACTAAGGTAAAGTTTTATCTGTGACTTCTCAGGAAAGTCAAATAACCCACCCTACCCTAGTGCTATAAGCCACATAAAACGAAAGAAGTCTGGGATTGACACATCCATCATGGCGGCCTCTCGAGTACCGCATTGCTTGAAATGGACTTTTCAGACTTTTAGGATTGTGTCCACCATTTATTCGCCATTCAACAGAATAAGGACTCCATATTTAAACAAAAGCATTTTGAGGACAATAATTTCTGCGCAAAAACGACTGTATTGTGCCAATGCGGGATCAGACGATGCAGAAACTAATGGCGTACAAAGCTCATCTCCGAGGAACCTACTGGAAGTTTATCAGAACGATCCTTCGTTGCTCCATGGACCTAGGGACGCTTTAAAACCTCTAACAGAGGAATACGTCAAAAAAGAATTACAGAAATCTAGAGGGGTGCGTTTTAGACGCCCTGTAAAGATTAACCCCGATAAAGTTGGATGGACTACTGGCTCCAAGAGAGTGGGAACTATTGGTGTTAAGTTAGGCATGTCAGCGCTTTGGCTTAAGGATGGAAGGAGAATGCCAGTAACTTTACTTCAGGTATAACATATAAAAGCATCGTAGTAACTATTGATAATTGAGGTCCTCGTCAATCCCAGACTTGCCAACTCGCAAAAGGCAAGAATTTTAAGATTCTAGAGCTGGGAAAAGTAGTGAGTAGTGAAATAACTAGGGAGATGTCCCAAATTTTCTAGTGAAAGGACTTTCAGTAGGGATAATGGGTATTTCAAGTCTCGTACAATGGAACTTCGATATAACGAACCTCTATATAACAAAGTCCTTGGTATAACAAATGATTTTCTTTACCCCAGCAATAGTAAAATATGAGAAAAAGAATCTTGATATAACCAAACTTCGTCATAGCAAGCAAATTTCACCAGTCCCTTGGCCCTTCGTTATAGTGAGGTTCCACTGTATAAGGTATATGTCTACACATACTTGTTGGCAGCCATCTTGAAATGAGAGAGTAAGGTTTATTTTAACAGTGAGTCTGCGTATTTGGTGGCAATGACACGTACCTTCAAGTCATGGGAGGATGAAGAATATAAACAGTGCATCAAGTTGCAGTGTTGCTGTGTTTTTGCATCATTGACGGAGAATATTCTATTCAGACACAAAATGAAATTATCGTGGAGTCATACTGATGCAAAAAAAAGTTACCTCCTGTATTAGTTCTTCCAAAGCAGCAGGCAATAATAAAAGTAAATTTAAAAATAGATGTGCTTACTAGCCTAAAATGAGGCTGCGTGCGAAATGACTGTCATTTCAGACTATGTGCTTACGAGTAGTTTTTGTGTTAGACATCATTCCAGGCAATTCCAGGAGAGACTAGAGCGTACATTTCGACTTTCTGCACATGTTACTTTGCCCATTGATTCACGCTTCATTTGTGGATGTTGTTCTTTTGTTTTCGTTTCATTTTTTATGCCAAAGAGAATACCAGTTGAACCTGAAAAGCATGAAGATGGGCTGGATAAGGATGGTGGGGAAGCTGGAGAAGTTAGTTTGATGATGTCAGTTGATGTTCAAAGCTTCAATATTATAGTTTGACCCAGACCATTTTTGAAATGACCAGATTTAAAATGCGATGGGGGACATATGACCCACTTAGACTAATTTCTAGATTGAACACTGAAGTTGGCAATTCACTTGTTTACTAATCAAATGCAACTGCTAGGTGTTTTCTTTGGATTGAGTTAGCTATCCCCTAGGGGGGGGAATACCCCTGGGAATTCTTGGTGGGGGTGTGCCACCCATTTCTCCAAATTCTGACCCAATTTCAGACCAAAAAATGTCATTGTCCACACCCGTTTTTAGACCTGTTGTTCACTAACTACCAGGTGGGCAGTTATTTCTTCCCCTCTCTGATTCTCTTAAAATATCAGTATCTAGGGCCCATTTCTCAAATGTCCGAGGAACTCTTCAAGCTCAAGACTGAGGTTTCAATAGTTCTGCAGATGGCATGCTAAAACTAATTTCTCAGTTACCAAACATAATGGACTATTTTCTGAGCTTGGACCGGCACTTTTACTCTTAAGATTTTGATCGTATATTAGGCTTATCAGTTTCCAGGACTTTGGAAAACCAGGTCCGTCTAAAGAGTTTACATGTACATGAAAGTAACATTGAGTACTAGTACTTCCTTCCCAAAATTCTATGCTGTTTATGTGTAACAGGTATTAGATCTCACAGGACAAGTACAATTAAGACGGAATCCACCAAGAAATTGAGTAATTTTAATTTCAGTGGACAAAAACTTTGTACCAGAATAATTTATAGAATATTGCATTTTGTTCTACTACATTTTTCAAGGGCTAAAAAGGTAATTTATCTTCTGTAATAATACCAAAGAAAATTTCTCATGGGGGTAGAAAATAAATGTCAAATTTCACAAGAATTTTGAAAACACAGGTAAAATTCTAAAAATTTCATGTGTAAGATGTCATTTTGTGAAATTTGACATTTATTTTCTCGGGCTCCCATAAGAAATTTAGTTTGGTGTTATTACAGATGACTTATTACATCTTTAGCAATTGAAAAATGTAAAAACGGATGTGATATGCTTTAAATTATTCCAGTACAAGGTTTTTGTCTGCTGAAAATTGATATTACTCAATTTCCTGATGGATTCCGTCTTAATACATTTTTCTTGGGAAAATATTTGCATAAATGAAGATCAAAGACTGTCAAGTTGTTCAAGCCAGGATAAGCAGGGAACATGGTGGTAATGACCACAAAACAGAGCTGCAAGTTGGATCTTTGGATGAAACTCAACTGTACAAGGTGATAAAAACTGTGTTGCTTCTTCATATTAAATATGTTTTAGCTATCACTGGTAGTTTCTTGTTAAATTAAAAGTACCATGATTCTTAGTTATTGCCAAAATTGTTGAATACATGTTGAGCCTAATATTAAGGGCATATCTGTATTTCTAACATACAGTAAACCTCCTTTGATATATGCATTACACAAGTGTCCATGTTATAGTGTGTAGAAATCGCACCAAGTGATCCTATAGTATAACTGTGCATTGGTTAATGTGTCCATATTATGGTGAGGAGAACTTCCACCATATTCAATGTTGATGCTACATTTGAGGTTCATTTCATTTTATTGCAGGTAAAAAAGGCTCAATTTGGTCACTTTAAAAAGTATGGAGTTAATCCAAAGAAAAAGATGAAGAGTTTCCTTGTAACTAGAAATGCACTTCTTCACCCAGGTAAGAAAGCAATAGACTTGATTGCCAAAAAAAGAAGGTAAAATGTTTCAGATGAGACTGCTGCAATATCTGTCTTCTTTACATTATTTATCAAGAAATAGCAGTAGGCTTGGTAACAGCAATGATGGTGCCACTAGCAAGGCCCTCTTAGGAGGAGGGAAAAGGTGTACGCGTGCCCTAGTCTGAATTTCATAACCTGCCATCTTGCATCTTGAGGAAGAAGTCATGTCCCTGTCAATATTTTTCTATTTTATCTGTCCTCATCACTGTTGTAGTTTCAGCCGACCTTTATTTCAGTTGTTGCCGATTCATCTGTCTTATGTCACTGTTTGAAGACCATGTCGCTTGTCAGAATTTGTCTTTAACAGAGGCTCTCAATAAGTCACTATAAGCCTTTTAATGGGTTTACTGTAACTGACGTAACTCATGTATGTGTGTTATGGGAAATGAAAACTGACATAGACACAGACGAGATCACTGGTGAGTTTAAATGGCAGTGTGGGTTCCTCTAAGTTCCCTTCTCTTTTAATTGTTTTCTTTTCTCTGACTTAGTAATTGTCATTATTTAATTTTGTTTTTTCTGCTAGGAACTCCTCTTTATGCTGCTCACTACTATCCGGGACAATTTGTTAAAATTCAAGGCATCACGTATGATACCGCTAAAGTTGTTTAATTATACAAGATAATAATATTATTTTAGCCTTCCTCAAGTTGTTTTTCTAGAAGTTTGTATTACAGTGTCATCAGGAGATCACTTGATCTGTAAAGCAGTTCCCAGTTTGTTCTCAGTTTAGGCCTTGTGGGCTATTGACTCAGAGGCCATGAGGGCGAGAGGAGTAACTTATTGTTTTAGTAAAATCCAACTAGTTGGTCAAAAATATCGAGACAAAAGATCTTTAGCTAGCAAAACTCAATAGCTCACTTTGGAAAAGAGTGATAGCCTGGGAACGAAGTCGCGCCGCAAGCACTTATGGGATTATTTGGGGGGACGCTCAAGCCAGCCATCTTAAATTATGCCTAAACACAGGAGTTGTTGTGTGCCCTTGTGCACCAATAATTTCAGGAACTCTACTGGAATGACGTTTTATCGAATACCCAAAAAAGAAAGTGTTCGCCGGGAATATATACGTTTACTTCGGAACGATAATTTAAAGTTAGAGTCCGACAGCACACGCGTTTGCTCTGCTCACTGGACCGGAGGTAAAAAGCTCAGCAGAGAACACCTTCCATCGATATTTCCTTGGAGTAAAAAGAAAACAGAGCGGCGGGTTTTGTCCCGGACGGAATCGACTACAAACGTAGGAGGTAAGAAAAGGAAAGCCGATGTTTCTACTACCGAAATAGACCAAGGTCCTCTTTTTGACATTGATCATGAGGAAACCATTCAAGCTTCTTTCTGCGATGCTGCGACGCAAACTGAAATCACTGTAGAAATACTGGATCAAATTGAATCGGAACTTAAAGAAATCATAGAGAAGAAGGACAAGGTAGCAAGGGAGAGAGACGAGTTATCGAGCGCGACAAAGAGACTTCAACATTTAGTGAAAAATCCGAAATTTGACATCTCAAAGTTTAAGGGCAATGATGAAGATGTTGAATTTTACACAGGTCTTCCACACTGGGATGCACTTATGCTTCTTTATGATATGGTCAATCAGAAAGCACAGAACCTGAACTATGGCAGTTATGAAAAGAAAGGAATTGGCTCCGAGCAAAAGCTAGGTAGACCTAGAGCACTTACATTATTTGAAGAGTTTGTGTTGACTCTGATGAGACTTAGGCTTGGCTTGTTACAAAAGGATCTTGCCCACAGATTCAATGTTTCTGAAACTACTGTGTCTGTTGTATTTAACACTTGGGTTCGGTTTATGAGGATTGAACTGGAGCCTTTAATTTGCCTTCCCAGGAGAGAGCTTTTACATGAGCACATGCCAAAATTTTTAAGGAACTTTATCCAAGAACAGTTCTAATAATCGATGCTGTTGAAATTCGAGCAGAGAGCCCCTCATCACTTGACATGCAGTCAGTGTGTTATTCTTCATACAAGGGCACAACAACTATGAAAGGACTTGTTGGTCTTTCGCCTATTGGAGCCCTGGGATTTTTAAGCGAGCTATACACTGGCAGCATAAGTGACAAGGAGCTCACCAAAATGTCCAATGTGATTGACTACTTACACCATGGGGATGATGTCATGGCAGACAAAGGATTTGACATACAAGATGACTTTGCTGCAAAGGGGGTAACTGTAAACATACCCTCTTTTCTTAAAGGAAAAACTCAGTTCAGTGAGGAAGAAATGGCACACAACAAAAAAAAGTTGCTAGCCTAAGAATACATGTAGAGAGATGCATTGAGAGGATGAAAAACTGGCATATTTTTGACAGCAGGATTCCCATAACATTGGCCCCTATTGCTAGTGACATGTTTATAATCATAGAGGCACTTACAAACTTTTTGCCACCTCTCATTGATTAAATTGCAATGATATTTCACTTTTTAAATTAACGATTGTTTGAAAAACACAACAACAAAGTTTTGGCAATAATAGTTGGAAAATTTGCCACAAAATGGCTTTTAGTCTTTCATTTTACTGAAATTGAATTAGATACTTTAACCTGGAAATCTTATTGTTTTATTTTACTGTCCCATTCTCATTAGCTGAGAAAAAAGAAGTGATTTACAGCAAAAATAGTGCGATTCAGGAATAAATCACACTGCTTAGAGCCAACAGATTTCAAGGATAACCAGTGATCTCAAAATGGATTTGATAAAAACATAATTTTTTCAAAGTGGATACTGGAATTTTATTGAATGATAACCTCTCTAAATTTTTCTCAACTCCAATAATATGAAAGACTGTTCCTTTACACTTTGATCGTTACTATGTCCTGGATATTTGAATTCCTTCACTTTTAAATAAGCCATCCACAGTAAAGATTTCATTAAAGTAAACAATGGGTTTGGAATATCATTTTAGATTAATGTACCTTAGAGGCATTTTCTTAGAGACATTTTCTGAATTTGTACCCATGATTAATAGCAATTGCTTCTTGTTGAGGCTGGGACAGACCAAAATACAATACCCAAATGCCGGAAAAGGTCTGTTACAATTGCCTATATTGTTACAAGTGACAATGTTCCTGAAGCAACTTCAATAACGTACAAGATTAGCAAATTAGTATTATGTATGTCATCAACAGCCTCTCAAGTCTAATCTTGAAAGACCAAATTTAACACGCGGATAAGCAAGTTCTACAAGAATGTGCTCATTATAAAATGCCTCAAGTTTTGGAAGTACTGAGGTCCAGAATTCACGATTAAAGTTGACTGTTGAAATGAAAACACCATCAGTGTCTACAATTGATCTGTCTGGAAGATCTTTAACTCCCTTTACCACCAGATCAACCCATGATTTCTGTGCAACAAACATCTGTTGCTGCACTTGATAGTGATACTTGTGTTTTTGGTTGATGACCAGGTGTCCATCCGTTGAACCAGGAAGAAAGATTCTTTTTCTGACAAGTGCTTGGTACAAAGTCTCATTCTCCTTTAGGAAGACAATTTTATTTCAACAAGTCCACTTGAATTTAGCTCAGTGGAGTCAGCATTGTATACTAAGCCATCTGGAGATGCGGCGAGGTAATTATGAGATTTGCTGATGAAAAGTCCACATGGTTGCACTATTACATTTTGATTGTCCAGTTTCTTTGATTTGATGTATTCAGCAATAACAGCACCTTCCCTTGACAAACCCTCTTTCATTGCCCTTGTTTGAGGTATCTGCTTGTAATGTAAGACCTCTTCAATGGCCTTTGTTGGGGAGGTAGTTGCTTGCAAAGTGGCAATTCGATGGCATTTTGACGCAGTTATTCTTATTTTTCGATGCAGATTCCAGTTTTCATTTGCTGATTGACCCACTGTCTCTTTTTCAATTCGATCAACATCCTTTTCATCGACAAAAAGCCTTTTCTTAAGTTTTATGCATCTTTCCTTTATTTCTTCCAAACTCACTGGATGGCACTTCACTGGTGATAACAGTTCAGTTGACACTGTACAAATGTTTCCTTCTGTTTCAACAGGTTCAATGGGAGTCAGAGGTGTGCAATAATTATGTTCAACTGAAATCCTTTCTTTATTCTCCTCCAAAGTTTTCTGTGGTAGAATTAGACTCAGTGCCATCTTTTTGCCTGTCTTTTTCTCAATTTCCTTGACATGATGTAACAAATTGCTAGCATCAGTGTTTAGACTTGGGTTCTGCTGGTGTGGTGCCCTGACATCCCTTGTTGATGGTAGAGCTTTATCCTCACTTTTGTGAGGTTTTCCATGCTGATGCTTTCTAAATTTGGCCTGTGAAATTGGCAGGTTGTCAACTTTCCTTTTTCTTGGGACATTCCATACACATGGCTTTGAAGTGCATGATATTGCAGGTGTTAAGGAAGGATTCACAGGTGCTTTACTTTGTTTGAAGAACTCTTCCAGTGCAAACAGTGTTGAAGTTACATGGTTACATCTGCCATCTATTCCAGCTGGGCAACCATCATAAGCTGTCATCACCTTGCCACATTTGTTCAAAACAATATAGCAATTATACAAAACAGTCTTTTCATTGATGGAAGAACTTGACTTTTTATGTAAAATTTTCCGTCAGACTCCCTGCATTTAATGCTAAGGACATGGCCAGATTTAAAAAGTTGTATCCCTTGACGAGAGGTTTAGCAGTGGATAATTGCTTCTAGCATCACTTTCTTCAATCATATACCTCCATATTGTACCAAATGATATGGCAGGTAGAATATTTAAATCTTCTGTAAAGCCATCTACTGGAAAGTTTTCTTTGAGTTTCTTGGCGTTAATTTCCTCCATGAGTCCCAGGCTAGCTTTTTAGCTTTTCGCTAAATGAATTCCACCATCAGGGTCCTTAATCTTAGAGCTTAGTCCACCAGCAATATAGTCCTTTACTCTAAAACGAAAAAAAAAATACCAAAGTAGGTACAGGCGATATTCTTGGAATATCATGGCTTAATAACGTAACGAAAAGAACAGGGGCAGTAATAAGAAGTTTTCAAATGGCCCTTAAGTTCTCCTACCTTTGAACAAGCTGCATTTTCTTCCCAGTTGTTTTAGCTCCACGGCAAAGGAGCCATCGCTGCAGCTGTTTTACGGTACATTCTTCTGGTATTTTTCGAGGTAAAATTGCTCCAGGTACATCTTCTTCTCTTAGATATGTGCTTTCTGATTTTCTAGTTTCGATAACTTTGATCTTATTACTATCTACTTCCGTTAAAATCTTGCTGTCATCACTACAATCACATTCCGCACTCAATTCCTCCATGTTTGTTTTTACCGCGTCCCCCCAAATAATCCCATAAGTGCTTGCGGCGCGACTTCGTTCCCAGGCTATCACTCTTTTCCAAAGTGAGCTATTCAGCTGCCACTGTTTTGGTTTTCAAAGCTGGCACTTTTTGCTACTAGTGGGCTATAACATATAGCCTAGTAGCAGCTCAACCAATCAGAATGCAGCATTGATAAAAGACCACTAGCTGGATTTTACTAAATGCATATATTCTGCACTGTCTAAAATATGATAATTTCTGGCTAATATTGCTTACCAGTATTGAATAATATTTTTATTATTCCTGTCATTTATTAAATCTATCACTACTCACCTTTTCGCCATTAATTGTTGGCTGCTTAACAGAAGTGTAGCCATCAGTCCTTAGGGGGTGTTTGCATGACACCTGGACGACTTTCACACCAACGCGAGTTCACTCCGGTTCCCTCTCATGGCTCTATATTTAATTACATGATACTGCTGCAAAATGTCTTGCCGGCGCAAGTCACCGCTGCATGAGTTCACCCAGGTTGTTGTACGGGAGCAAGAATTTCACTCCAGTACGAAATTTTGCACCGGTTTCTTGTAAACACAAAACAACCACCTGTTTTGGTGTGAAATCGGTCTGCGGGTGGACTGGAACGGGTAGCGCATGCATAATAGTTGCGATTTTGAATTGCACGTGTAATAGATTTATCAACAAGAAGAGTACCTTCAGATAACCGAGATATGAAAAGACCCATCATTATGTAAAGGCAATAAGAAATCAAAAAGTCGCCTGGTATGAAACTCTTGCCGGTGCGAGTTTTCTCATGTAAACAGCCCCTTAGTCTGTTTGACAGTACACAGACTGTCTAACTATCCTGATTTCATTGGGATTCTCCTGATTTTGCTTGAAAATCCCAAATCCCTACCAATATGCAACCAGCACAGATAAAAATGTGACATACTCAATAGGTTGGACAGTCATATCAGGCCATAAGGAATCCCTTATTCTTAAACTCTTGCAGATAATGTTTTGTTCTGTGCCAATAAGGAAGATGTTTACGTGCTTATTTTTTCACCATTTCCCCACATTTATCACACAGAAAAGACCGAGGTTTTCAAGGTGTTATGAAGAGATGGAAGATGAAAGGTCAGCCTGCATCACATGGTCAAACAAAGACGCATAGAAAAATGGGAGCTACTGGAGGTGGAACGGTATGTACCACATTACTGAAATTATCCATAAAATAATGCTAGGGGAGATGGTTAGTTAGGTATTCGAAAGGACGTTTTGTAGCTACTTTTGTGATGAGGTGATAAATGTTGCACCACATCGTATGCTCCAGGAGTAGAATTGTACAGGGAAGCCGCTGTCAGAGATGGTAAGTACCCCCATGGTTAACTTTAAAACCGTTTCAAGATAACAAAGGTATGAGTGGCACAGGAAAATAGAAGCTCAGGGCTGTCACTAAAATTTCAACTTGCTCAGCTGATATATGCAATTTATTAACTAGTAGGCAAGGAATTAAATGTTTAGGAAGTTCTTTTGGTTTTATTTTTCTTTTGTTTTCTAGAAAAAAAATACCTGGGGGTAATGTTCATAGTAGCAAGGGGATATACCCCGTCCCCATCTCAGCATGTATCCTAGGGGTACAAAATACGTTCCTCTGCAACAGGGTAATAATGGTATCATCAGGTATTTCATCACGGCATGAGTAAAATAAACATTTTGTTTTGTTTTAAGTAATAATGGATCCCAACAATAATTATTAGTGGCTCCTTTGGCCAACTAAATCCTAGTGCAACAGTCTTTAACAAAAATGGTTCACAATAATTATACAACTGTTTGGCAAAATTTGCTGCATTGCCATAGGACTACTGTGGTTATGTCTGTTCATCTTATGTAACTAACTTCAGTCAAACCTATATTACATAGCCAACCTTTATTTAGCAGCCAGTTAGCAGAGTCAGTGACTCCCTGTTAACAATGTAAAATAAATATAACTTTTTTGAGAAGCCGCTTGTGCTTTCCTTGAGGATGGCAACTCAATTGAGGATCAAATGCAATGTTTTTTCCAGGATCCAGGAAGAATTTGGCCTGGAAAAAGGATGGCTGGTCACATGGGAAACAAGAATTGCACAAAATTTGCTGTTAGGGTAAGTTTGAGTATTCACACATAGCATACCAGTGTAATCTCAATTAAGACCAAAACGTGTGTTAAAGCGTTTGTTAAAATATTTGAATACAGTATTAGCTGGTATTTTCATCAGTTGTAAGGAGAAGAAAAATCGTTCAACAAAAATCGGGTGCTTGAATGGGAAAAGATAGTACCTGGAGCTGTGTCACGAAATTCAGCCAAATTAGGAAATTACAAAATGCCCGTTAAATTAAGAGAAACATAAAAATAACCGCTTAAAACTTTAAAGGAAGGTTAAAACAACATAACAGAAACAACAGATGCCACGGATGGGCAAAACTGAAGAAGATTGAAACGGATTGAAAGTAGGGTTTTTGAAAACTGTTCAGCCTAACAGTTTTGCTAAGTTGGTCCCTGCTGCTTGCAACTTCAAAAATAATGCTCAGGAGACATATTTGTTTGTCTCGGATCTCTGATTTTGTTATTTACATGTAATTTCTTTGCTTACTTTAAGTTCCATAGCGATTGAGGGCCAGTAATTGGCAAAATTGACCAAAATGAACTGGACTGCCGTGACACAGCCCCTTTAATACTTTTTTATCTTGTCTTGTTTCGTCACTTTATGAGCATCATTAATTTTCGCCTTTCAGATTCTACGCATCAACACTAAGTACAATGTCTTGTACGTAAAGGGAGAATGTCCAGGCGAGAAAGGAGGCTTTATAGTCATCAGCGACGCTTGGAAGAAGCATGACCGACCCCCACCCTTCCCCACTTACTTTCCAGATCCTGAGAACCCCCTCCCTGAAGATTTGTACGCAGATGATGTGCAACATTTTGACCAGACGATTTATTTCAGCAAAGACAAGAAGAGTGGAAGGGCATAGGGAGTCTTCTAATTGTTGTTTAGAACGAAAAAAGATTGTGTTCATAAATTTGGCTTGGGAGTTGAGGAGCGACTACGTATGCAATCATTTACTATAGTCGTTTGTGCGAGGCCAAGGAAATGATGTGAAAAATGAAATGAAATACATTGTATTAAAGGCTGCGACTTTCTGATCCTGTTTATTTAATATTAAGGCGAAGCAACGCGGCGGCCATCGCTTTGGAAAAGACTGAACGAGGTTAAACAAGAATCGCGGAAAGGCGATTTTAACTGGGCTGCCAAGGGGCGATTTTTTTCTGAGGGGAGGGGGCGGCTGTACGCACTCAGGCTACCACAACACCTCGTCGCCGACCATTACGTCGCATAGAATCTCATGTTAGAGTGAAACATAAACTCATTTGAACGTTGTACCCTTTAGAAGACTTTCATAACAAGAATAATGAGTACCATTTTTAAGTTGAGGCTGTATAGTAACTTTTAAATTCCACCATTATGAATTAAAACAAGTAAGTTAGCCATTCTAAGCAGGAAACCGGGGAGCTGAGGCATAAGGTTGCCAGTTTTTCTGCAAGTGCAACAAGTGCCAACGGTGTCACAGTCATACGAGTATCCCCGCGTTTTGGGTATCCCCATTCCCAAAACCCTAGTGATATGGGTATCCCCTGTAGCACTAACCCTAACCCAAATCGCTAAGGTAATATCAGAAGGGGATGTCCTTATCACCAGGGTTTTAGGAATGGGGATGCCCAAAACGCGG